GCTTTATTGTGGATTCTCCCAATGTTTTGATAATAGCAACTTGTTATTTGTGAAATTTTACTTCCTTTTTAATCTGGGTCCCTATTGTTTTCCTTATCTGATTTCTGCAATTATAACCTCCAGTAGAAGGCTGAGCAGCAATGATATAAAGCAATATCCTTGACCTCCTCTTTCTCTAAGAAGGAAAACATTCAGTCTCTCCATTGTATCAGCTGTTTTTCATAAGTGTCCTTTACAACATTGAAGGACAATTTTATTCCTAGTTTAATCATGTTTATTGAGTCTTTGTCATGCTGTCTTTTCTATACCCATTAAGATAATCATGCAGTTTTCCCTGTTGTTCTACCAATACTACAGTGATTTTCTTATGTTGGACTACCTTTGCATTCCTGGAGCGTCTGTCCTTTTAGTCATTCTACTGGGTGTGTTATCAGTAGCTCATTAATTTCAACTTTCTTGGTGGCTAATAATACTCAGCATCTTTTCAGGTGCTCATTGGTTGTTCATATATCCTACTTAAAAAGTCTTTGGCATTTTAAATCGTCAAAATACTGAGTTGTATGAGAGCTCTACCTATTCTGGGTATGAGTCTTCATATATTCTACATAAAAAGTCTTCAGCATTTTAAATTATTTGTCAAAATACTGAGTTGTATCAGAGCTCTACCTATTTTGGACAAGTCTTTTCCATATAAATGTATTATAAACATTTTTTTCCCAGTTGTTAGTTTTTTTCCATTTCTCTAGCCATGTCCTGTGGAAAGCATGTTTAAATATTCTAATTTATTGATTTTTCCCTTTTATTGCTTTTTGTTGTAAGAAACTTCTACTTTAAATGAAAAATTTCTCATAAATTTATTTCACTTTTCAATGGTCCACTAATAGTTTACAGAAAAACTACTGAATTTTTGTATATTGATCTTGTATCCTGTAACCTTATTAAAATCACTTATTTTCATTGCATTTTGTAAGTGCTTTGGGATTCTCTTTCTAAACAATTTTGTCATTCAGACATTTTTTTTTCTTTCTCATTGGAACCCATTTCTTTTTCTATTGTAAGACTTTCAGTATTTTTAATAGAAATACTCCTTGTTTTTTCCCCCTCGATCTTAGGAAGACAAACTGAAGCTGTAATTTTCTCAAAAGTGCCTCTATCAAATTGAGAAAGTGTACTTCTAATTCCAGGTTGCTGAGTTTTTAATATGAAAGAACATTAAATTACTGTGTGTTTACTGATGTGAGTATAACAATTTTTTATTTGTTTTTCATAATTATATTGAATGAATTTTGATTATTAAACACACTATATTCCTGGTATAAATCTCATTTACTCATGAGAGTATTATCTTTTTCACATTACTTTACAATTGATGTACTAAAGAACTGTTGTATAGGTTTTTAAAAATCTGTGTGTGTGGCATCAAATTGAGTACCTTGTGTGTCTAGGAAAGCATTTTACATTGAACTACATCCCCAGCCCCCAAAGGATTTGTGTCTAAGTTCTTCAGTGTAACTCACTTTCCTACTATTTTGCTATCAGAATAACTCAGGCAGGTCTCATAAAGAGAACTAACAGTTATCTCTTTTTAAAAGAGTATTTTGTAGGTAGGATGGGTATTATGTCTTACTTTTTTTTTTTTTTTTTTACTTAAATAATTGATAGAACTTGCTGGGATAGCCATCGTGGACTGGCATTTCCTGTGTGAGAAATTTTTCACTTCAGGGCAATTCAGAGTTTCAATTTTGAAGAATGCTCTTGCAAAGATGTTTCCATTGCTGGAAAACCTCCCAGCTCTTAATGTTACAAGTGCTAACTAGAAATAAAAAGTACTGATTACCAGAGCATTGGCTGTGGGAAAAGATTCCTGCTAAGTTTCCTTGTGTAAGGGGTGTGGATATAGCTCAGTGGCATAAATGTCTTCCTGGCAAGCACAAGGTCCTGAGTTCAATCCCTGGTTAAAAAAAAAAAAAATCCTATTGTGTTACTGTGCAGGTGACCCTGATAGAACTTTACTTTTATCCTTAATAGTCAAGGACACATGATCGGGAAGAATGACCTCAACGGTCCACTCGGCAATATGTTCTTCAGTTTTTCTTTTTTGTCCCCTTTTTGTAAATGCATTTCCTTTACCTGCAGCTAACTCTTTAAGCTGGTACCATGTCTAGTTTCTGCAGACTCAGTGCCGTAGGCGCTATACGCATTCCAGTATCTATGATGGCACAGACAGTGACAAACACTGCTGCAAAAGGTTCTGCACAGATTTCAGGGTAACAGACACAAGCCTGAGCTAGGCTGTAGCTTTTCTTTGTCCAGAGAAAAGAGATGACCATACACTGCTGTACACTGTCTTTCAGTAGCCTAAACCCAGGCAGATTAAATTGTACCAGAATGCCTAAGGAATATCTTAATTTGTAGTTGCTTTCACAAGTATATGAGACCAATAAATGCTTACCTTTGATGTTATTAAGACAGCAGATGACACTAGAGTTTATATCATAAATGATAGATTCATTGTTATTTTTTCTTTTTTAAAGATATACTCCTGTTGCTCACATGCTTTTTTGCTATGTTGCCCAGGGTGTTCTCAAATTTTTGGGCTCAAGTGATTCTCTTGCCTCAGCCTCACTCTTAATTCTTTTTGAAGATGAAGGTAAAATGATAGGATAAAAAGTATAGTGCATTTGGGAGTTATTTGACTTGGCGCTGAGGGGTATATTCTCACTTTGCTAGGCATGAAATGAATAAATATTAAAATACTACACACACTGAATAAAGTATTATACAAATATGACAATAAAAAGTGAGTCCAAAGAAATGAACAGAATTACATAGTTCACGTTATGGGATAAAAAGTTCAGCTTCTGGGTCAGCAAGATAGATCAGCGGTCTAAAGTGCCTGCTTAGGCAAAGTGTAGGGACCACGGGTCGATCTGTGGCACCACATGCCATGCCAGCCCCACCCCCAGAGTGGGCTGAGGTGGCCACCAAAAAAAAAAAAAAAAAAAAAAAAGAGTTGAGCTTCTATTTGTTTTGGGAGTGTTATGTCATAGGCTAGGTTCAGCAAAACAAGTGAAAGGCTAAAGGATTCCTTTGCTTTTTTTCCACCTTCCCTCTTTTCTTTTAGCTCCTACCACTTCATACCTGCTACTCTCACTCAACATCATTCTATCATTCCCACAAGATCAAACTCACATCTGTCTTTTAAAAAATAAGGCCTATGTTCACATTCTCTGCACATCTATTACTCAAATTCATATCCTGAGAAAGTAAACTTCCTAGGAGATTTTGATTTTCCAATGTAAAAGAATGTATTTTTAGAGTGAATTTCAGCTGCCATGCCAGGCAGATGGGGGAGCTTTTACTCAGGGACCTCTGGAGTTTCTAAATGGGTGGCTGTCTACCTGTGGGTAAGACCAACTCCTGAAATTACTTCTGCTTTAAGGCAATTTTTCTCAACATCTAAAAGTTCAAATAAACTCTCTGAGACACTTTGTTGGTACAGATTTTAAATTACAAGCTTGATTGGATACTCTCAAATACAGTCCTTAAAGAAGATTAGTTACAAATAGTTGTCAGTACTTTCAAGTGAGAAGAAATTACATTTTGGTAAGACTGGATGAATTATTTTTATGGATGAGATAACAATCCTTCCATCACCAGGTAGAATTACTCCAATTCATGCAATAAATGACTAATACATTTTTAAAAGCTGCACTAATTTTTCTAGGTGAGAATTCCTGCCTGTTTCAGGCCAAGATATCACTGTGTTCCTGAGCTCGCATTACTGTCCCTGGAGGTGTGAGTTCACCCACGGTATCTGACACAGCTGGGCCCCTAATTAGGAAGGTGTTAACTCAGTTCTTTCTTCCTAATGTGAAGCTTTCCAGGAAATCCTGGATTTCAAATAAACTGGCTAGGTCGTATATAGGTAAATATAACACTATAGATTATACACGACTGGTAGTAGACAGGAGGGAAATTGTAACTTCTTGACATAAAATTGGCAGAAAAAAGGATCACCATATTCTTGCAACTAGAAATTACAAGGATAAAGCAGAAAAAGTTTGTCTATAACCAGGAGGCCCCTCATAGTAGAACTTGTGAGAATTTTTTATAGAACCACTTAAGATAGGACAGTGGACATGTTACATATTTTACATACAATCTGAGTACAAATTCTTAAAATTTATAATAGAACAGTAAAATAATCTTCTAATAAAATCAGCATTAAGTATAAGGATTCTAAATTTCATTATGCTGTACACTTCTAAATAAATATCTTTGATCTATAACCATTGAAAATATTACAGTTTATAGTAACATGATAGACATGTCAAACAGCATTATAATTGAAAATGAAACATCAATTTTAAAAAAGCCTAAAAACATACTTAACTGAAATTATAGAAAATCATAACTCTTAAGTACATAATAATTAAATATCTAGCACTGAGATAATCAAATACATGCTCAGCAACACACCTTCAACTTATATAAAAAGCCCTTTAAATTTTATACAATCTAAATAAATAATCAGAAACACAAAGGGAGATACTGTACCAGCCAGTAACAACTAGAAACCAATGTCTACCTTTTTCTTTGAAATGAACCTAACAGAAAAACAGGAAATAATCACTTGCTAAAAAACTATAATTCATGTTTTTTTAATGTTGTCTACAATATAAAAAAGTCAAAGCAAGGCTTCCCAAATGTTAGACCACTGTACCTTAAATAAGGAAAGGCCACCTGACAGATTTAAACAAAATGCAGACATTTGCCTATTTAAGGTGTGATTGAATTTTGGCTTAACAACCCCATGATACGGTCTAAATCAAGTCCATGATAGGAATGCACATCTGAAACATCTGAATGCACGATCTGCTAATACTGAGTTATATATAATTTACTTTCACTTGCCAAAATACTGGTTTACTTTACATAAGACCAGAATTAAAACATATATGCAGGAATTATATCTTATTTATATTCATATTCTGGTTTTTAGATTCTCAGAGCATAACAGGTGCTCAGTAAGTACTGAATTGAATCCAGCACTCATCATTTCAGGAAGCGCTAAATCCATGAGGAAACCATCATCTGAGACTCAGGGAAGGCTCTTTCACTTTCTTTCAGGCCTGCTGAGTTCAATGCCATGCCTCTGTCAGAGTTCATTTCAGGGCCAACATTTCCACAGTTCATCTATTCCACAATTAAGCCTTCTTCAAAGATTTGTGCCTGCACATCATAGTGAATTTAAAAGAATAAAGATAATCTTTGTATTATTCTATGTTGGATATTTGGATAATTGCTTGAAGCACACAGAAATGGAGAACACAAACTGGAGATAATGCAAAAAGCCTAAATTACATAGCTCTCAAGGTTAACTAAAAATAACATTGAAATTATAAGGTAACTGATTTTGATTACAAACTTATTGCATGATGGCTGTAAGCAATGCCTAAGGACCAAGAGACATAAACCAGAAGTGTCCTTTCACTTGTAGCTTGACAAAGTAGCTAAAAATAGTATGGTTCCAACACTGCTCTGCATATCCTGCCCAGTGTACTCCTTACAGTACAAAGCAGTGAGGGGGAGATGAATACACTCGCTCCTCCAAGACCACCCTCTCAGTCCACAATGTTTAGATCGATATTTGTTTTATGAGCATTACTTGAAAAAGTTCCTCTGGCTGCCATTTAGAAAGTGGCTACTACTGAAGTCCCCAGGTCCTTGACAAGACGAGAGGGGGGAATATTCCAGAACTCCTAAAATAAAAGCTGTTGAGAAAGTTTCATATCTTTCATTCACGCTGCCAACATGCCTGTCCTCTTGAATGTGGCTATGAGAGGTAGATCCAGTGTTTCACTTCTGCCATTCCCTGCAGGAACTTTGTGTAATAGAAGTCCACGTTTTCTGCAAAGTCTGTACAAACAGGTGATTCCATGTCCCCGAAAGTGCAGTATAATGCAGTTCCGCCAATGCTAAGGAAAACTGTTGCTATGCACAGCAAGATAAGTAAAATACAGGAGCTACCTCCGACTTCATCTGCAAACATGAGAACAGAGTGAGGTTAGGTTTTCAACAAAGTGAAAATCCTAGTACCTGCTGATTTAAGGTAAAGGCAATGGTGTGCTTATAATGGTAGCCCTCAAGATCAGGATATAGCCAGGGAACATCTGGAGTCAATGATTCAATAAAAATCTACAGATTAGTAACTACAAAGATTCACATCGGTGAAATCTATGAATGCTGAAATTAAAACTAGCTAATGTGTACAATGTACATCACTTTCTTGAGAAAGAAGAAAAATAGCAGCTTTCCTCTAACATGCTCCATAGTATTATTTTAGAATACCATTATAGCCTCATTATTATAGTATTTTAGGAGTTCATACCACGGGACTACCTTAAATAAAGTCCACTTTATATTCAAGAATAAAAATGCCATTGGTGTTAGACTTCACATGCATCCAGTGATAGTCATTATTGTCATTTCTCACGATAGTGAAGTTGTGGCTAGCACACTGATTTTATTTTGCTTAGTAACTCTGTTAGTGGGTTTTTCTTTTTTTTTTTGTGGATGGCTCAGGCAGGGCTGGCATGGCATGTGGTACCAGGGATCAAACTACGGTCCCTGCGCTTTTCTAAGCTTGCCTAAGCAGGCACTTTAGATTGCTGAGCTATCTTGCTGGCCCAGGTAGGTTTTTTATAAAAATATCCATCTACATTGGTCTTTCTATGTTGACTACAATAAATTTCTTTGGTGGAAATTTATTTTTTAAGTATTTGGAAGAGGGTCTCACTATGCAGCTGGGACTCTAGTGATCTTCCTGTTTCAGCCTTCCCGGTACTGGGATTACAGGCATGTGCCACACACTCGGTATGCCCAGGGCAGGGCCGGCATGGCATGCAGTACCAGGGATCCAACTTGGGTCTCTGCATTTGCCTAGGCTGGTGGTTAGACTGCTGAGCTATCTCTGTGGCCCTGGAATTTCAATGATCATTCAATTATAAAGAAAAATAAACAGTACTTCAGAAAGGCTGAAAGAGTTTCATGATCTGCAACACAAGGAAAATGTGTGGAAACCTTTTGGTAAGGTAACCTGGTACTATTTATCAAAGTTTAAAATGAATTTATTCTCCAGACTACACTTCAGGGCATGAAATAGTGTTAACTGTGTCTCGGGCCCACTAGGACATGTAGTATCAATGTTTAGCCCAACCATTCCCACTTTTAGAAACTAGTTTGGGGGCCTGCCCATTAGCTCAGGTGTTTAAGTGCCTGCTAAAACAAAGTGTTGAGTGGTTCGATCCCCTCACCCTCATGCCAAACCAGACCTGCCTTGAAGGCATCCTGAGCGCCCCCTCCAAAAAAAAAAAAACTCCTCCTAGAAACTAATTTATAGATTTCCGTAACTCACAAAATCGTTTGTATAAATTTGTTCACTGCAACAGCATTTGTTATAACAAAAAGCTGAGAATAACCCAGTTAATCCAATCACAGTGGAATAGTTTATGGAACATATATAATGGAACTCTATGCAATTATTTAACAGAATAAGGTACACTTAATATGTTATCTCAGAAAGATGTGTATGATTCATGATCAAAATTTTAAAAGAAGTTATCCATTATAAGGAACTCACCTGTGTTAAAAAAAAAAAAAAAGTCATGCCTCAGTCCACATACACAGATATACACATCTACACAGAATACATCTTAAAAGAATAAAAAAAAAAAACTTCACCTAGTCCTTAGGGAAAGAGAATGGAAGAGCTGTGGGTTGATATCTTTCATTTTATTATCTCTGAATTCTTTTCTGGGGGCCGGGGAGATAGCTCAGTAGAATAAGTGCTTGCCTGGCAAGCACAAAGGCCTGAGTTCAATCCCCAGTTCCGAAAAAAAAAAAAAAAAAAAAAAAAAAAAAATTCTGAATTCTTTTCTGATTAGCATATATTATTTTTATAGGGAAAAAAACGTTATAAAACCTAATCAAAGCTTCTGTTAATAGGGAAAGAGGGGAGAGGAGGGAATGGGAAAAAAAGAAACAGCAAGGTGTACTGTGTACAGGTACAAATTCCCCATGATAACTGTGATCATTATGTGTACCTAAAATGTACCAATAAAGTAAATAAAATTATAAGTAAAAAAACCTAATCCATATCAAGTAGACTTTATTTATAAGCTTTTACAATAATACATGGAATAAACCTCCTTGGAAAAATCCAAGCACAAAAGTATCTAAGAATCTAATTCTCCTACTCCAGACGTAAACACTGTTGAAGTTGGTGTGTATCCTTCCAGATCAAGCATGCATGATTTTAGGACTTTTATACAAATGCAATTATATACTCATATGGCTCCGTGATTTACATTTCAAAATGGAGCAAAACAACAACAACAAAAAACTGAAGAGAATATACATGCAATTCATAAATATTTTCACAACAAAGGAAAAATATTAGCTGACCACTAACAAAGAAGATAAAAACAGCAAACAAACAAACAAACAAAAAATTAAAGAAGAGAAATACTATAGTAAGAAACACACGAGCTTTCCACATTGAGGACTACCTATGTGATAGGTAGAGCATGAGCTGAATTTTGCAACTTGTTCACTTATTTGAGCAACAATGCTTTAGAATAATTGAAGATGGTCTGATTTTATGTTTCTTTCTGAGATGATAAAGCAACTATATGTTCTTTTACAAATCGTGTTAATAAATAATATCCTAGCCTCAGCCTCCTTGAGTACTGAGTAATTCATTTGTGTAGCCAACTGTTAAGTATAGGGCTGAGTAATTTACCTTGATCCAAGTTATCATCTATTTCTTGGAATCTCACTCTTCGCTTAGATGGTTTCTGCTGCATTTGGGCAGGATGATCTCCTACAGAATCATTCCTCTTCTTTAATATTGACACCAGGCCTTCAGCAGGAACAACCTGTCACAAATTGTAAGAACGAGTGGTTATATTAACATGGGACATTCCAATGCTATTTTATTAGCAAAAAAGGCTAACTCAACAGAGAAAGTGAATCTTGTAAGTGCATCCATTCCTATTTTAAAAAGTCACAATCATCACAATCCTATTGAAAGAAAAATTCAATTTTTCTTTCCTTTTGTGTGTGTGTGGGGGGGTGGGTACCAGGAGTTGAACTCAGGAACTCACTTGCCAAGCAGTGCTGTGCCACTGAGCTATAACCCCAACCCCAAAATCTAAAAGAATAAAGCTTTCACTTCCACGCAGGTGACTGCAAACACAGAAATTTAAACCCACAACGTCTTTTTCTGACCCTTGAACTGACCTGGGGAAGGGCAGTACGAACAGGGCACCAGAAAAATGTTTTGTGGCTGGACTTGCCCTTAAGTTATCTGTAAAATATCACATACAGCTTCTCTTGCTTAATTATTAGCACTGGGTTTATTGTTAGAAATAAAATTTAATTGGACACAAGTTAAGTCCTTCATCTACTTACGCAGGCCTGCTTTTGGCCTTTGGGCTAGAATGGTGGAAACAAGTACTTACAACGAACCATAATGCCTAATATATTCACAATTTGGCCCTTCTTGGCAGACAGCTACTATCTAACACCTCTTCAGCCCCCCACTGTCAGCCCTCTCTACATTGCCTTCTAGGTTTCATTTGGGCCCTGCCAATACCCCCATTCTCATTCAAAAGCAAAAGCAAAATCCTTTTCCATTTTGGAGCTAAATGACTCCAAGGTAGGGAAAGGAAGAGAAAAGGATTAGTCAACAGGGCCAGGCTGTGAAGCAGGAGGCCTTATCAAGGGGCCCTACCCCACTGGCTCATTCATAGAAGCTGACTTGTGAGTGGCCTGCTGACTTCAAGCTAGAGGTGATAACATTGAGGGGCATCGTGGACCCAAAATTCAAGGTGACAGAGACTTGCCTAGATCTGATCACTCTAAGGTGAGGACTCCTGTCATGTTATTTATCAGATCAATGGCATAAAATACTTAACATGATTTTTCAGTTGCAGTCAGCAAACTCTGATGATGTATTATGTATAAATATCAGATTATATTATTTCTTTTTATAACTCAGTGCTTTTAGGGGCAAATGATTCCAGATAGTCTGCTACTTGGCTTCTCTGAACATGAATCTAGAGAAACCATTATCTGAAAAACAAAAAGAATCAATAGGCCAGCAATTTATTCTTTTTATAGAAAATACATAATTCAGGTATCCTTGTGCTGAGAAAACTGAAGTACTTTAGTAACAGTAAAATGACAAATACAAATATCCAAAGGAATAGTCTTTCAAAGCTCTCTTTAGAAACCAATACCAAAAATTCCTTCATATAACTCCTTGCATGATTTTATATTGATATTTTGTTTTTATTAAATGCTAAAAGAAGAACGGGACTATAGACTATTTTCTCCATAAATTAATGTGATACATTTACCAACAGTGAACTCACCTATGATAAGAGTTTGTTTGTTTCTTTAAAATAGAATTTGACTATATCCATGTTGGTCCCAAACTCCAAGTCTCAAGCAATGTTTTTTTAAAAAAATGTATTTTAGTACAGGGTCTATAGGGTCTCACTACACAGATTGGACTCATAGTGATTCTTCTGTTTTCAGCCTCCCAACTGCTGGGATTACAGGCATGCACCACCATGCCCAGTCTCAATTGCTGTCTCAGCGTGCCCCTGGGAGCGGAGCTGGCAGAGCATTGAACAATTCTTTTACCTCAGCCTCCACAGAGTAGTTGGGGCTGTAGGCACATGCCACTGTACCAGTCACTATGGAAAGCTTTTGTTTTTTGGCTTTTTCTCAGTGCCTAGACCCTTGAACATGCTAGGAAAGTGCTGTGCCACTGAGCCCCATCCCCCAGCCCAAGTAAGCTAAAGTGCTGGGGAGGGGGTGTTTATTTTATAATATTACGGATCAAATTCAGGGGTGCTCTACCACTGAGATAAATCACTAGCCTTTTTTTTTTTTTTTTTTCTGTTGATACAGGGTCTTGCTAAGGTACAAGTACAAATTCTCTATGATACATGTGATCATTATGTATATCTAAATACCAATCAAATCTGATTTAAAATATGACAAATGGGCCAGGGAGATACACGGCAGTCTAAGCACCTGCCTGGCAAGTGGAAGGAGCTGGTCTTGATCCCTTGTACTACATGCCAAGCTGACCACCAAAACTGGGAGTGGTGGTGCACACCTGCAATCCCACAGCTCGGGAGGCTGAGACAATAGGGTCACAAGTCTGAGTGCGTAGTGAGACCCTGTACCAAATAAGTAAGTAAATAAATAAATACATAAATACATAAAATGACAAAGTAAGTGATACGTAAAGAAAGAACTTACACAAAGACAGAACTTAGCATATTATTTGGAAAATGTAGCTGTGCCTTGAAAATAATCAAAACCAAATCTGATTTTAAAGGTTATTTTTCTAAGTGAACTAGGGGTGGCTTTACTGAGTAGAATGGCTATCTGCAAAGGTATATGATGGGTTTGTGCAGATATAAAGATAGTCAACAGGATCCCGAGCCTTAAGGCATTTGTGCTTTGCTGCTGAAGACAGTATGTGGGGGTCCTACAATTATAAAGGGAGACTGCAGCTGGACAAAGCTTTGGGGGGATAGGGCCCCAGCTCCTCCCTCACTGATGTTCTGAATAGCAGCTCCAGAGGGACAGAAAGGGACCTCAGTAACCAAGAAACATGGCAGCAGCTGGCACTCACTCCTTGCACACTGACCATGAGCTAGGCAGTGCACTGGGTTCTTTTGTTTTTTGAGACAGGGATTCACTATGCACTTCAGGCTGGCTTTGAACTCACTTTGTAGCCCAGGCTGGCCTCAAACTCACAATGACCCTCCTGCCTCAGCCTCCCAAGTGCTTGGATTACAGGCATGTGCCACCCCACCCAATGACCTATATGTTAAGAATTGGGAAGAAAGAGATGTGGGAAGAAGATTAACCAACCACTCTAGAGCAGAGCTAACATAGCACAGAAGACAAAGAGCAAGAGTGAGAACAGGCAAGGTGTATCTAGGAGGCAGCAGGGGTCCAGCTTGACTGCAGTACAGGTATAGCCTGAGAAAAAAAGACAGTAGGACATGAGAGTGAGTGGGTGAGATTATTACAAGACCCAAATATGCAGTTAAGTAGTGCTGTACAGCAATTACCCTGAGGTTACAGGGACTGACAATGTAAGAAGTATTTTAGAGCAGGAATGTATCAATAGGCTGGGTGTTAGATGGATACCTTTGTTGTATTTGGCCTAGAACATTTTTAAAAAATTAATACATTTAGGTAAGGAATAGAAACCTCTCTATAACGTTACATCTAAGTCATTTCACTTATTTCCACTACTTACAGAGCTGGCTCTTTTGTGTATCAGACTGAGACCCCAGTTTTATACTGTGATAATTTAAGGTCATTTGATAGGGAGGAGATGAAGCAAAGGACAGGGAAACTTGCTAAAGCAGCCCTTGGAAAAGCTCAGGACGAGGCAGTAAAAATGAATATTTTAAAAAGTAATTAAAACGAAAAAGACAGATAGGTGAAAGAAACATGACAATTAAGAGATGTATTAACTAGCAATTTTAAAGGGTATGACAAAAACAAAAGGCCAAGATGACATCATCTGGCACAAATAAAAATAGGCAGCCCCGGGTTTTCCCTTGGGGCCCATTAGACACCTACCTGGACCAACCATAAATCCTCATGTCTACGTAAGGAAGCTGGAGCACCCCTGCCCTCCTTGAGACAGTCACTGTGGGGAGAACCACTGGGACTGCTGCTCTGAGACTTTCACTTGTCCAAGCCCTGGAGACGCCTACATAACAGGCTTTCATAAAACCCTACCGCCTATGTAGTACAAGCTTCATGTTCACTTGGAGAGGGAACACATAGCAGCTAATCTTAAAGTGACTTCTCTGATCGTAGAGATCCAGTCAAGACCTCAAATAACAGGTGCTAAGGATGAAGACTACATAGAAGTCACTTCAATTAGGTAGCTTTTTCAAAGACAAACCCAACTACAAGTTTGGCCTGTCGCTTTTCTCCCCATTGGACAGTGCAAGGTTATACATCTATTTCATGTGATGTAAGTAGATCTAAAGACATCTAAGTAAGCACTGATAATCTAGATAGAGAGTAGGGGATTACAAAGTTCCAAGCATTAACAATGTTGCTTCTTCATCAGCTTTTAGAAATAACAAAATTGGGGCTGGGGAAGATAGCTCAGTAGAATAAGCGCTTGCCTGACAAGCGCAAGGGCCTGAGTTCAATACCTGGTTCTGCCAAAAAGAAAAAGAAAAAGAAAAAAGAAATAACAAAATCATCTTGAGTCTTAAGTACTTGGCTTGTTAAATATATATCTCTACAAATAGATTATACACATACACGTTAATGAAGAAAAATGAATAATTTTCATATGGCACATTATGTTAAACTCTGGTCACACTGGAATGTCTGACTATAATTGTTTTTAGTGGGGGGAGGCTGGCTGGTTGGTTTTGTAGTTATTGTTGGTTTTAGAGATAAGATCCTGCCATACTGCCCAGGCTGGTTGCTGCTCCTAGGCTCAAGTATTCCTGCTGCCTCAGTCTCTGAGTAGCTGGGGCACAATGATCATTTGAACCCAAGAGTTCGAAATCAGCCTGTGGAACACACAGATCTTACCACTTTAAAAAAAAAAAAGGTTATTTTTAATAAAATTTATCTAGTATTTAATTTTCACATTGCTTATTTAAAACACACACACACACACACACACACACACACACAAGCTCTCTTGCCCCACACACGTAACAGTCTACACAAAACTTTAAAAAGCCACCTGTGTTTTCACTCACTGCATCTGTAATGCCACAGCTGCAACGGAGACCTAAGGTCCCACTCCACCAGCCGCTCAAGCTATAGACCTTCCCCAGGTTCCCTTACGTTCTAGCTCTGCCTAATAAGTCTGCCTGTGCCTCACAATGATACGACCTGAAATTCTCCTTTCACAATGAGAGCCAACAAACCTATTCCTCAGGGCAGAGTAACGATCTCATCTCCTCTCTGAGGGACTGGTAACAATGACATGTACAGAGAAGCCACTCATAAAAGTTACTGAATAAGGCAACGAGTGACTCTTTTTAACTTGCCCACACTGCACAAATAACATTTTTCCTTGAAAAACTGATGAAGATAAATGATTTGCAACTTTTTTTTTGTATTTTAGGGAAGGGTCTACAGGGTGTTCAGGGTCTCACGACTAGATCAGACTCAGTGATCCACCTGTTTACAGCCTCCCAAGAGCTGGAATTACAGGTGCATGCCACCATGCCCAGTCTCAATCGCCATCTCAGCATGTCCTGGGGGCAGGGGTAGCACAGCAGGCCGAGGGATTAAACCCCTGGCCCCTGCGCCTGCTTGCAGGCACTTAATCCACTGAGCTATTTGGCTGGCCCTAATTTGCTATTTTGTAAGACAGTAAAAACTATACTTTTGATGATAATATGTCACATCTTTTTTACATAAATAAAGAAGAGTAATGCTTCATCCTAAACTATAACTTAGTAAAATGTTTCTTGGATCTGAAAAAGCTTACTGACCCTAGACAAGTCTCACTTGTACATGTCTCCACACTTATGAATATAAAGGACATTTAGTTCCTTCTGAAGTTTCTGTGGAAAACTATTTCATTTTATGTGATGACTCTAAGTGTTTAAACTAACGCAACAGAATGAGTACTTCCACTGGGCTGGCAAGGTTATCAAAACCAAGTTCCCCGGAGCCACAGCTAAGCATGAAGAAGTAGCAAGAAAATGAAAGCAGAGACCAAAAAACGCAGAATTCTGGTAAACAAAAAACACCCCAGTGTGTTCTATCACCAATACTTCTCAGAATGGGAAGATAACTTTAAGCTTTACATACACATAGTTTCATAGCTAACTGCTACTAGGAATACAGACCATTGTATGAGTTGGAGGAAGGAAAGTTATAAGCAGTAAGGGTACCTATCAGGGCAGAAAGACAACACAGGAGGCTAACAGCGACCCACAACGATGTCTGGAGGGCTGGAGGCACATGGGCTTAGGTGCCTTCCTGGTTCGCAAAGGCATCAAAACTACTGATTGGCTTATCATCCAGTTATTAAGAAATTATACTCAGAAAAGGAGTTAAGAATAAATTCTATTATAATTAGTCAAATGTGGCAGGAGAGAGCCCCCAAGACCAAGAACTTTTTGTGGTTCCTTAGTGCATTCTTAGCACTACACAACGAAGATTCTTGATAAAAATTATCAAAACCACAAAACAAAAAAAGTTTGAATTAAAAAGTTGTATATTTGTATTTATATTTTTAAAAAAATGTTATTAGAATCTAATTTTAAAAATCTAAAATTAGGGGTTGGAAATGTCGTACAGTGGTACAGAACTTGCCTGGCCCTGAGTCCGAGTCTCAGCACTAAAATCTAGAAAAATAATTAAAAAAAAATATATGTTTGCACTTGTAAGCAATCTCATTATTACCTGGATATTTTACTCCCCCAAGCCTCATTCTGAAGGCACTACATTTGGAAAGTAATAAGCATTATAGATTTTAATTGTGAAACTTTAAAAACCATTTGGCTGGGCTGGCTGTAGCTCAATGGTAGTGTTTGCTTAGTATGCCTGCTGCCTGGGGTTCAGTCCCCAGAGCATAAAAACAAAAAATTCATTTGTTGACAATGTTAGGCAGATTTTATTAAATCTCAGAATGGAGAAAGAAGTATGCAGAAAGTAAATGTTTAGTAATTTATATAGTGGCTGGGGAGATACTCGGCAGTCTAAGCACTGTGCCTGGCAAGTGCAAGCACCTGGGTTCCATCCCAGTACCACATGCCGTGCCGGGAAGGTCATATTGGCCCAAAACCATGTGTAATAGCACACACCTATAATCCCAGAGCTGGGGAAGCTGAGACATGAGGATCCACTATGAGTCTGAGCGGCGTACTGACACCCTGTACCAAATTAAAAAATAAAAATAAATTTTAAAAAGTCTATATAGCATTACAACAAGAAAGAAATTAGTTTGTTAATCATGTATAGTTTTGAGGGTGCCTAATGCATACTAATTTAAAGATCAAAAGACTTTTCAGAAGATAAATCATTATGTATTAATTTCACAGAAAAGACAACTTTACCCTTTAAATAACATAATTTAATAGCTGTAATTAGTAGGAAAACAGACCATGTAGAATATTTCACTTAGTGGTAGACTACATTAATAGTCTGACAACTTCCTGAACCAAAGAGCTTGTTAAAAATAAGCAAGAAGACAAATATTGGCTCTAGTACTTTTCTGTTAGTGCTATTTAAATTTTTAAAACTGATTTTAGGGGCCCAGGGAGCTGGCTCAGTAGAATAAGCGCTTTCCTGGCAAGCGCAAGGTCCTGAGTTCAATCTCCAGTACCAAACAACAACAAAAATACCTTTTAAAAATTGTGACATATACTACATCTGACCATTTTATAATTGGAGATATAGCTTGTGATAGAATGTGTGCTGAGTATGTGTGTGAAGACCTAGGTTCATTCCCCAGCATTGGGAGGTGAGGGGATCAGCATTTCTGCTGTATTCAAAATATTGCACAACTATTACCACTGTCTATTTCTAAACTCTGTAATCTTCCTAAACAGAAACTCAATATTCATTAAGCAACATAAAAAATTTTACTAAGAAGCAAAATCATAGTTTGTAAAGAAGCAGTTATAAATGAAAGTCAAATGGTCTTGTTAAAAAAAAAAAAATAGAACAAATACTAGGCCAAAGTGCTTCACTAACTTACCTAATTGTGGTTAAAAAACAAACAACAAAACTGAAGAAAACTCATAGTGTATTGAGACCTCACTAAAAATGGCACCAAAGGAAATTTGTAATATGAGTTGAAATGATCTTAGCTTTTCAGAGTTCATTTCTCCCATATTTTATCTATTTTTGAATTTTCTCTTAAAGTTACTAATTTTTTAAATTATGATAATGCTGAGACAATTCAATGGTCATAAATGGGTCAAAAAAATAAGGACAAAGAAAAAGAAAGGCAGCTAGTATCCTGTCAGACAAGGAAATGGGCAAAGAAGTAAAAGTAACTCCAGGAGACAGCAGGTGGGATCGAATACAGCAGTCTGATTCTGCTCTTTCCTCCATACCAGGACACCCTGATAAGGAGGGACAATTTGCGTACGGCCTTTATCATTTTTTTATTCTACCATCAGACCATGGACAATAATACTCTTTCCTTGATGTTTTTTTAAATTTCCTTTTTTACAACTTAGTAGCTTAAAAATCTATCTAACACCTCTCCATCTAATTATATTTTAAAAGTTTCTCTACCACTAGACTTTTTAATATATACTAAGAAGAGAAAGATATAGTAAGTATATACTGTATCTTAACTTGTTTATGTATGAGGAAAAAATTCTTACTAGAATAGGATTAATCTTGTCTTTACCATATTTCCTGGGAATATCAAAGTCATAAGATTATAAAACATGGTTTTATAATAATGTATACTATATCTAGAGGCATGCAATATATCTTCTTGAAGTATAAACATGATTAAAAGTCATTTTATTCATACACAAATAAAACTAGTAATGATTAAAAGTTTCTAACTAGAATTTTTACCTCATGTTTAAACCCAGGGAAAATTTAAGAAAAGGCAATATTTTGTAAATATATTAATTATTAAAATTTCATTCTACTTTAAATTCTATTTCATCTGTAATTTACCTCTGCAACTTCTATCCTTTTCGCAAGATCATCAAGAGAAAGACAGCTATCATCAGAAGGCAGACTCTCCTGCAGACTATAGGATGCTTCTTCAGGAGAAAGATCTTGAAGGAGATCAGAATCATCATCTTGGTTATCTTCATAGGAAAGAGAATCTTCAGTATCTTTTAAGCATCCTTCCAAAAGGCTATTCAAGTAGTCTTCTGTTTCTTTACCAACTCGATCTTCCTTATCTCCTTTATCCTCTGGGGCCATATACACTTCTGGAGGCAGTGTGCTCAAGGCAGATATTTTATTATTTTCACAAAACACATTTTGAGAGCCAATCTCTGAGTCAGTCTGACTCTGTGGTGATTTTCCATCACTGTCTGTGAGATCAGGTTGCAGCAGCGTATTTAATTCATTGTTCTCAGGTTGGTCCACAGGCACCGCCTTAGAAGCATCCTGAAGTGGCAAATGAAGTTCTTTTCTTTGAGTCTGTGAAAATTTACCCTCAGAAATCAACACAGGAGGTATATGATCACAGCCTGGTAAGATCAATGGCTCTATCACTGACTCACTAGAGGGTAACACCTTAGGGTCGTCAGCAATGGCCTCTAGCGTGGCCACATCTGGGCAGTTCTCTGTGGGAGCCTCCTGCAAGCAATTGATAGTCTCACAAGCATTCTCAGCAGAGTCTGGCTCTGAGCTGCTCCCAGCTGTCTCTGAGGATTGGGCGTGGAGCTCCAGCGAGGCTTCAGTGCTGCAGAGTGGCTCCTCCGTGTGGTCCTTTCCTGCAGTTACTGGAAGGCTCAGGGAATCTGCTGGGCTGTCCATCTGACTGTGGCCGGCACTGCTCTTCTGGGGCTCTTCTTTATGAGGGCTTTTTACACTTGGTTCCATGCCAAGACAAGTTCCACTCTCTACAGGTGAAGAAAAATAAGCTGTTTTAAAATTCTAAACAATGCTTTGTAGAGAAAGAAAAAATATACGATAGTGTAACACATGTAACACAACAATATTCTAGCCCTGTAAGCAGAAATTCTGTTTGTTGTATGATGCTGTATTTAGGTATTTACTGAATACCTAAAACATTTAGTAAATAATTCTTTACATATAAAAATTAGCAGATTACTGAAAAGCTTAATATGAATAAATTATTGTATTTGAACATGAGTTTTCAAAGGTTTGAAAGGTATTTCCAACATTCTGGCCTTTTACATTTAAATTAACATATCTATTGGCCTTCTGATTTACATTAAGTTGGAAAAATTATTTTCATTATATTTAAGACATGGTATGGGCTGGGCCAGTGGTACATGTCTATAATCCAAGCCATTCAGAAGAGGCAGGAGATTGCTAGTTTGAGGCCAGTCTGGGTAACTTAGTGAGACCCTTTCTCAAAATAAAAAAGGCCAGAAATAAAAAGAAGCTCAGTGTAAAAGTCCTAGATTCAATCGCCAGCATTCTTTTTATTTTTCATTTATTTATTTTTAAATGTATTTGGTACAGGGTCTCACTACGCAGCTCAGATTCATAATGATCCTCCTGTTTTCAGCCTCCCCGGTGCTAGGACTACAGGCATGCGCCACCACGCCTAGACTCAGTCACCGGCTCAGCACGGTGCAGCATGTGGTATCAGGGATCAAACCCAGTCCCTGCGCTTGCCTAAGTAGAGCTTAATCTGCTGAGCTATCTTGCTGGCCCTCAATATCCAGTATTGAAAAAAGTTTTTAAAAAACACATAGTATGGCAAGTAAGTATTTCTGTAAGAACCTGAGTAATATATTTATATTCAAAATGTAAGACCATATTGGTTTGAAAGGCTAAGAATGAAGCTGAGTGTTTGCCTAGCATGTGTGGGGCCCAGAGTTGTTTAATCTCTAATACACACACAGACACACACAGACACAGACACACAGACACACACACACACACACACACACACACACACACACACACACAAATACTGGTTTGGTCTACTAACAGTAAAGAGACAATAGTCTGTTCTGTTCAAACTTGGAGGATATGTGTTCACCTTGGCAGCACATATACTAAACTGGAACGATGCAGGGAAGATTAGCAAGGCTCCTCCTGCACAAGGATAACATACAAATCTATGAAGCAGTCCACATTTTACACATACCAACTCCCCACAAAGAATGTAATCACATGTACTACAAACATACACTAATAAAAATTTAAGAACTGGAAAAACTGTAATCCTGGCAGTTGAGAGGCTGAAGCAGGGAGGCTGTCATGAACTCAAAGCCAGCTTGGTCTCCCTGGTGAGTTCAAAGCAAGTCTGGACTACACTGGAAGACTCTGTCTCAAACAAAACAAGATAAAAAAAAACCCCTCAAAACCAAATTTGAATGTAATACCCTTAATAGATAAATGTCTTTTCAAAGTTCTGGGAACTTCTTAAAGCAAGGCAGCAGAGAATAGCAATAAAAATAAGAAATTTTGGCAAGCTGCAGAAACACGTTTTAATTTTGATATTGGTTTCAAGTTAATTGAAATAAAATTAACTTAAAAATTATTTTTCAAGTAAAACTACAGTTAAAAATCTTTACATAAGCAGTCATGATGGCACATACTCCTAACCCCAGCAGTCTATAGACACAGAAGCAGGAAGATCACTGTGAGGTTAAGGCCAGCCTGGGCTATTATGGTGAGGTTAAGGCCAGCCTGGCCTATTATGGTGAGGTCAAGGCCAGCCTGAACTATACAGTAAGACCCTATCTCAAAAACAAACAAACAAACAAACAAACAAACAAACAAAAAACCTGGTGCAGGGTTTCACTATGCAGCTTGGACTCACAATGATCCTCCTGATTTCTGCCTCCCTAGTGCTGGGATTACAGGCATGCACCACCATACTGGACTCAAAACAAACAAAAACAACAACATATAAACAATGAATGGAAATCACACTGACTGGTAGATAACAGAGTACACAGCCTACTCATCCTCAGTTTATTGCTGTGTTCAGCATCTTTAGTTAGTTTTAACTGTTTAAATGGCATAGTATTTAATTTAGAAAAATAATAGCCCAATGGTAAAGAAAGACAATAATAATTTTATTCCATTTTAAATATAATTGTTAACTGACAATTGAGGCCCATATCACACCAAAAAAAAGACATTTCTCAAAAACAATCTTCAGATTTCAGAGAATTAGGGCCTGGGGCTCATGCCTTGAACTCTGGAATGCAGAGGGGCAGCTGTTAGTAGAGTGCACAGCACCTCTGCCTCACTGACACAAGCATCAAATGAGGATCAAGAGAAGGAAGAAGAGGCTGCCTTCTGGGAGAATCCTGCATCCCTTCTTTCTCCCCACACAAAAGAATCACTCAAAGTTTAGGAGACTACAACAAAAAGCACAGACATTTTGCTCCCCGTAGGTTGTTTGCTTTCACACCCAGCTTGCTGGCCTGTCCCTCTGTTTAGACCTCAAGAGATAGGATAAGGATGGCCATAGTCAAAAGAAAAAGAAGCCATGTCTCTCTTCCACAAGTTTCCACAACCACAAAGGTGCCAGTTGACCTTCACTGTCAACCTGCCTCCTGGAGAGGTGACTGGGACACAGGCCAGTATACTCCTCCACTGATGGTTCTGGCTCTGGATGATGCTGGGAGACAGGTTCCTTGGGGGGTGGGGTTATGATGCTGGTGCTGCCCCCTGCCCTGCTGCCCAGCTGCCAAGAAGTGAGCAGTCTTGCTCCACCACATCCTCACATCCTGTCAGTATCCCTAACTTGTCTTATAAGAGAAAAAGGAGATAAAACTTTGGGAAAAGAAAAAGTTCTTTTAGAGAAGACAGAAGCAATTGATAATAGCATTATCACCTTGTACCTTCTTCTGGGCCACTCACCTAAACCACCTGATAGTTCCTCTTTAATATTAGGGCTCTTGGGCCCAGGAACGTAAAGCTGAGCAATATAAACCGGTAATAGAAGCAAGCATCAGGAAAGAAAATCACTCTAAAACATGTTCATCTTTATCTTTTAGTTTTTACAATAAACAAATGTATTTAGAAAAGTTTCTAAAATTCTTTTGACATAAAACACAAAGTGGTATCAAATACATTATTGAGTGCTTTAGAAATATATATACACAAATTAAAGTGTATCAGACATTAATAAAAAAAGGGGTGGAAGGATAAGTTATAACATAAATTATCAGGAGAGAACTTTTAATGATCTAGATTTACAAAATAAATTTCTATAAAGATCCACTGGACAACTGTTTTTTTAAACAGGAAAGGATGTCTAAGTATACCAAAATCATTTCAGGGCATTTTTGTATAGTGTTTTACTGAAAACACAGAAATGATTTTATGCTTTTATAAGATTTTAAATTTTATAATTCCAGGGGCTGGAGAGATGGCTCAGTGGTCTAAAGCACCTACTTAGAACAAGCTTGGCAAAGCATCAGGAACCGCGGTTCGATCCCCCAGCACCACATGCCAGCCAGCCCCGCCCCCTGGTGGGCTGAGCTGGCCACACACAC